AATGAGGAAATCCAGGGCAGGAATGTTTGAATTATACATCGAGGATTAAATATGGATGGGAATAAATCCCGAGGGAAATGAGGAATGAAGGAAAAGGGGGAGAAAACCAAAATTTTTAGGGAGGGGAGACCCCTCCCCCAAATACATTCCCAAATTCCTTCTTTTATCCCAATCCATTGGGATTTTAGCTCCGTCTCTCCAAAGAGAGAAATTCCTTTTTCCCATTATCTGCAGCTTTTCCATTCCTCCCTTTCCCTGTGAGATCCTGATTCCCAAATTTTCCCAGAAAAAGAGAGGGAAAGGCCCAGGAGCTGCTCCCAAAGGAGTGGAAAATCTCAACATTCCCATTTTTTTTTAATTTTAAACTCCCACAAAAGGGTTAATCCAGCTAAGAAAGCGAGGAGGGAATAAAAATCCACTCGAGCCGCTCCATCCCATCCCATCCCCAGCGGATAAATGCGGGAAAATTACCCGGAGCAGCTCCGTGACCCCGAGTTATTTCCAGGCAATTTCGGGGGATAACGGTGATTTGTGGACAAGAACAAGGAAGGGCAAACGATCCCGGATCCCGGATCCCGGATCCTGGAGGGATAGGGAGGAGCCGAGCCTGGAGCGGAGCCACTCCTTCCACAGGGAATTCCCAACCTCTGGAATTATTCCCTCTGTGTAGAAACCTGGTGGGAGAAACTGAGCCTGGGGCATGGAAGGGGGAAAGAGCCGGAATTTGGGGGGTTGGGAGAGCTGGGAATGTGTTCCCATGGATTGATGCTCCACTCGGCATTCCCTGAGCATTCCTTGGCCTCTGCTCCAGAGCCAATTCCCATTTTCCATAGAAATCAGGAATTCTTTCAAATCCCTTTTCCTGGAGAAGTGAAGATATGAGGGTTGGGGTTTTTTTCCTCCCTGGAAAACCTCACCGTATCCAAGCCCAAGGAAACGGGAGAACGCTGGAATGGGAATACGGGAAGCCAAGAAAAACATGGAATTTCGTAGCACCGCCCCCCTCCCCATTCCGGCTTCCTCCACGTCCCCCATGGAGCCTCTCCTTTGGATGGTGGAATTCCCTCATCTCCCTATCCGAGGAATAATTTAATTAACTTGGAGAAACGTAATTAATTTTAATTGTGGGCGATAATTCATTGTTTCATGGGATATTAATAATTATATTTGGGAAATCTGAGTGCCTGGGAAGTGCCCTGGAACCTCCTAATTAACGGCTCGGATGGGAAGCGTTTAATTGGAAACGTTGGGAAATTGGTTCTGCTCCCCAGGGCCGGAATCCGTCGCCCGAGGACACGGGAAAGGAGGAAGGGAGGGAGATTGGGATTCTCCCATTTCTTCCCAAATCCCAGCTCCACCTGGGCTGGGTAGCGACATACCTGGATATTCATTTTTCACGGGATTTTTGGCTCCCAAAAAACCGGGAATTTTGCAGGTGGGAGAGGCTCTTTATCCATGTTTTCCGCTGCTCTCGTCACCATCTCGAGCACCTGGATGTCCCATTCCCATCAAGGAATTACAGGCTCGGAATTTCCAGCAGCCTCAGAAAGCCGGGAAAGGACCCTCCCGTGGAAGTGTTTGCATTTTTGGGATTATCCTTTGGGAAGGATTTGTCCTCTAATTGCTCCGTCTGTGCCTCGGGAAGACACGATTCCAGCCCGGCCTCCGTTCCGGTTTTCCCATTTCTCCTTCATTTTTCTCCTGCCTCCGAGGAAAACTCAGCAATTTCGGGTCCTGGCATCCCACTGATCCAGGATTGGGGTGCTCAGACCCCCCAAATCCCGATTTTCTTTAGTCCAGGACTTGGATATTTGGACAAGGCCAGGTCCCAGTATTCCCCCAGGCCGGGATCGGGATGCTCGGAACCCCCTGATCCAATGTCCCCCCAAAATCCCAACGTCCCCCTAAAATCCCAATGTCCCCCCCAAAATCCCAACGTCCCCCCAAAATCCCAACATCCCCCAAAAATCCCAACATCCCCCCAGTCCAGAACATGGATTTTTGCACAACCCAGATCCCAAAATTCCACCCAAGGCCAGGATTTGGATGCTCAGACCCCTCCACCATGTGTCCCCAAATCCCAATGACTCCCAAATCCCAGTGTCCCCCAATCCCAGGACATGGATGCCCAGACCCAAATGTCCCAATGTCACCCAGTCCAGAACTTGAGTGTTTGGATCCCCCAAATCCCAATTTTCCCCTCCTACCCAGGATTTGGGAGCTCACACTCCCCAATCCCAATTTTCCCTCACAGATAAGATTTGGATCCTTGAACCACCCAGATCCCAATCCCATGGAGATTTCCCCCCAAAAAATCGGGACATACCCCAATCCCACGGAGATCTCCCCTAAAAATCGGGATCCCGCTGTTCCCAAACTGGGGACAGAGGGAGAGGATTTGGGGTGAGGATGGAATTCCCTGGACTTTTTTTTTTCCAGAAGGAAATGAGGATTTGGGAATTGATGAAAAGTCATTGCTCCCAAAAATATCCATGAAATCCTCACTGGATTTGGGAAAATCCCTTAAAATCCAGTGGGGTGGGGGAAAAGAGGGATCTTGGTGGCTCCATGGACACCTCCCAAATTCCCATCCCCGAGCGTGAGGGGTGGGAATGGGATGGATCCATGGAAAATTGCAGGGATGGGGTTAAGGAAGGGGGAAAATCCCTCAAAATCCAGTGGCTCTGGAATAACGAGGGGGATTTTTTTCCTTAGGGAAGGGGAGGAAACCAGGAGCAGCCAGACACCGAAGGGATTTGAGCCTTGTCCTCAAGCTCCTTGAGGAATTCCGACGTCTGCGATGGGGATTGATGGATCCGCCGGCATCCGGACGGGCTGATTGATGCGGCACCAAACCTTGGGAATTCATCAAGGAAATCTGGGAATTGCTCCATAAACTCTTGGCGCCCCCAATAAATAAATTCACCGCTGACGGCTCCGCTGTGTGAACACAGCCAGGAAAACCGGGATTGGGAACGGGGAAGGGGGAAACGATCCCACAACGCTTTTGTTTTCCTGGTTTTTCCCAGAAAACAGCACCAAAAAAAAAAAACAGGAAAGGAGCGAGGTCTTCCAGCCGCATTCCAGACTCATCCAAGGAGTGGCGGCTCCGTCTCCCGCAGGAGAAAGGCGAGGGGGGTTTATTTTAAATCCCTTTCCTGCCCTAATCCATGTGACACTAATCAGGGATCCGGCCCCTCGGGAATCAATGATTAATGGAGTTAAATTTAGCCAGAGCTTGCCGGAGTAAAATTAGGCACCATGCATAAAACATCACAGCTTCTCGTTAGCGCGGCTAATTACGCTAATGGGGGGCGCTCACGCGGGGCTGGAATTAGGGATGGACCTCCCGACCTCCGCCCAGCTGCCCAAATCTGGAGCTGGGAAAGAGCCTGGCCGGAGTCTTAATGAGGAGGTAATTAACGCCCAATTAGTGCTCAAGGGGCTCGGACAGCGCGGAGGTCAGGGGGGTCCCAAGGATGGGATTGTCCCACTGAGATGGGACTGAGGGTCCCCTGGTCTGACATTTCCAAGGGTTGGGATGAAGGATCCCAGTGGGGTGGTTGGGATTGACGTCGTTACGGGTTTCCTCCATTGTGGGTTCTCCATGGGGTCGAGCGCCATTACGGGCTGGACGCCATCATGGATCCAGAATTCCCAGGAATTGGGATGATTTGGATCCCAGTGGGGTGGTTGGGATTGACGTCGTTACGGGTTTCCTCCATTGTGGGCTCTCCATGAGCGCCGTTCCGGGCTGGATGTGGTCACGGATCCAGAATTCCCAAGGATTGGGATGGGGGGTTGGTGCAGCACATGGCCTCTTATCCCAGGCTGCTCCAAGCCCCATCCTGGAAAAGCAGAACCCTTGGAATGCTGCCCCCAAATCCCAGGAAAGTCCCAAAGACACAAACCAAGAAGTTCTGCCTGTTTCGGGGGTGAAATATTCCCGGATTTCTCCCCTCAAATTGGCTCTGCTCCCCATTTCCCCACACTGGAAATCCAGGGAAGTTTTCCCAAAGGGGATCAGCCCTCACAAGTCCCATTTCCAAACCCTCATCCCACGGAATTCCCGGGAGCCGCTGCCGCCTGTGGAGCAGCGAACATCGATTATTTTTAGCTGGGGCTGCTGCGGTGTTTGCAGGCGGGAATCAGACCATGAAATCCCTGGATCCGGAGCATTCCCAGCTCTCCAGCGCCCGGAGCAGCTGAGCCGCGCCGGGGAGAGACGTCAGAAGCCTCCGAGGGTTCCTCGATGCCACCTGATGTCCCCAAGGAGCCGGTGTCGGGACCCCCGGGATCAACCCCCTGACCCAAATTCCCAGCCTGAAACGGGAAATGTGGGAAAAGCGGCGCTGGCCTCGGAAAATCCAGCTCGGCGCCGGGTCTGGAGAGAGCGGGAACAGCGAATCCGCTTTTCTTTGGGATCACTGGAGCTGGATCGGCCCCACCTGGGCAGTGGCTGCTCCATGGATTCCAAGGATGCAGCGAGGGACAAGGAGAGGGGAATATCCCTGAAAGGGTTGGGATGAGGAGGGAATATCCATCAGCACCTCCCATTCCAGAGCTCGGGAATCTCCATCCCATCACCGGATGCTCCCCATGGAATTCCCGTTACAGGCAGCAACGGGAATGGATCCAGTCCCGGGATGGATTCCCAAATTCCTGGGTTGGGATTGCTCCGGAGCTGATGGAGAGGGCGGAAGTAGCAGAAGGAGGGGTGGGTTTTCCCTCCATCCCACTCTATTCCTTGCGGGAAAAGAGGAAATTTTGGGGTTTTTTTACTGATTTTTAGGACGTGCAGCTCCAGAGGCTGCACCAGAATCCCAGAATTCTAGGATGGTTGGAATCATCTTAAAGCTCGTCCCATTCCGTTGGAAACCCCTTGCATTCCCAGGCTGCTCCAAGCCCCCTCCCGGAGCATTCCCAGGGAAGCAGAACCCTTGGAATGCTGCCCCCCAAATCCTGGGAAAGCCCTGAAGCCACAAACCAAGAAAACCACGGCCATTCCTATGGGATTTATTTCCACGCTCCCCCTGTTTTCCTTTCCTTGGGAAGCCAAGCAGGCTCGGCTCCCAGATCCAGGGGATTTCAGTATGGAAGATCCTTAAATTCCCGGTCGGGAAAAGGAGTGGATATTGCAGCCGGAGCCGCTTTTTCGGGAGCTGCTCCCGCTCTTCCCGGCATTCCCAATATATACAGATTCCTTCTTTTTACAGGTAATAATGTACAGCCTATTTATAATCCAGGGATTTCTATCTCTAGGGATTATCCACACACACACACACAGGGAAACCAGGAAAATCCTGCCACTCCCAACTCCAGGTCCGCCAGATTTGGGCGAAAATCCGGCGTTTTTCCCAGTTTGTTTTCCTCGCAGTGGCCGAAGCGCCCAGGGCGGCGGCGCTCCCGGGAATTCGGGGGATTCCTGAGGTAGGAAATTCGGGAATTCCGTGCGGGGCTCACAGCGCCAGCGGGAGCTGCCAGATGAGCAGGGAGCTGTCGGCATCTCCGGAGCGGTGCGTGGATTCCGCCCGGAAATCCCGGTACCCGCGGCCTCCGGAGACGATGGCCACCGAGGAGATTTCCTTGCGGGAAGAATCCCGGGAGCAAGGCCGGCTCCGCACCCACACGTCGGGATCGTCGGCCAGCTCGTAGATGGATCCATCCTCCTCGGCGTGTCCCGGCGTTCCCGGTGCTCCCGGTGCCGCTTCCCGCACGGAGAGCAGCTGGCCGGGCAGGTGGGAAGTGGAGCGCAGCCGGTATTGTAACAAAATCCCTTTTTTCCGCATTTCCCGCGGCGGGAGCCCCTCCGGATCCGGGGATTTCTCCTCGTCCGCTTCGTCGGCCTCGTCCTGTTCGGCCCGGAGGGCGTCGGGAGCCAAAGTGCTGAGAGCCAGAGCCAGGAACTGCACGGGGCCGGCGTGGCCATTCAGGGACACCATCCCCTTCCCTGGAAAACAGGGATCCGAGTGGGATGGGAGCGGGAATGGCGGGATCGGGATGGGAACAAGGTGGAAATGGGCTGGGAATGGAAACAGCGGGATCGGGATGGGAACAAGGCGGGAATGGGCTGGGAACAAAGCTGGGAATGGCGCTGTTTCCCTGGGAATGGGCTGGGAACCACCTGGGAAAGAGCCGGGAACAGAAACAGCGGGATCAGGATGGCAACAAGGCGGGAATGGGCTGGGAGCGAGCCCAGGAATGGGCGCCATTTCTCTAGGAATGGGCGCTGGTTTTTTGGGAATGGTGCTGTTTCCCTGGGAATGGACTGGGAAGAACCTGGGAATGGGCTGGGAAGAACCTGGGAATGGGCTGGGAAGAACCTGGGAATGGGCTGGGAATGGACTGGGAATGGGCTGGGAATGGGCACCATTCCCCTGGGAACGGGCATCGTTTCTCTGGGAACAGAATGGGAATGGGCTGGGAAAAGCCTGGGATTGGCGCTGTTTTCTGGGAACGGGCGCCATTTTTCAGGGATCGGCGCGGTTTCTCCGGGAATGCTGCCGTTTTCCGGGCTCACCGGTGATTTTCGGGATGCCCTCCAGGCGCGGCACCGGCAGCAGGACGATGATTCCCAGATCCGTCCCCACCCAGAGCGAGCCCTGGCACAGCAGGAGGCTGGTGACGCGCACGAGCTTCTGCCCTGCCACGGGAAAAGCCGGGAGAAGCCGGGATCAGGGAGAATCCCGAGGCACAACCCCCGGTTTCCGTAGGGAACGGCCTTGGGAAGATCCCAGCAGAGCCGCACCCAACGGGAAGCGCTGGGAATAGAACGGAATTAGAAGAGGGAAAAGAAAAAGAGGGAGAAAAGAGATTCCAACAGGGAATGAGGATTTTGTGGGAAGGAGTTGGCGGGCGTTGGGAAAGCGATAAATCCAGGCAATGCGAGAAATCCAGAGAAATCGATAAATCCAGGGAAATTGAGAAATCCACAGTGGCTCACAGAGGAGCTGCCAAATTCCAGATGGTTTGGGAGCAGGAGCTCAAATGGATTTAATCCCAACGCTCCTGCCTGGGAATGCAGGGATGGGAGGGATATTGGGATACCGGAATATTGGGATATTGGGACATGCCTGGAAAAAGAGAAAAATAGGGATAAAACAGGGAACTACACAAGTCTGGTGTCAGGAACTAATGAAGGGATTGTGGAATTGTGGAGTGGGAATGAGGCCGGGATAACCCGGAGTGGGAATGGGATGGGGAACGGGGATGGGATCACGGGATAAAGTCGGGATCCAGGGATGGGATCACGGGATAAAGTCAGGATCCAGGGATGGGATCACGGGACACAATTCCTGCCCAGTTCCACCCCTGCCACGGACCCTGGTGGGACCCCCTTCCCTAATTCCCCCCGATCCATTAATTAATCCATCTCATTAGCTGTTAATTACCATCCCACTGGACAGCAGGAAGGTCCCATTCCCTAATTCCCTATGGATTCATTAATTAGCTCCCACCCCTCATTAGTGCTGACTGGGCTCTCACTGGGCAGCAGGAAGATTCCCCTCACTAATCCCCCCTGGATCCATTAATTAATTAATTCCTCTCATTAGTTATTAATTAGGATCTCACCAGGCAGCAGCAGGGTGATCCCATTCCCTGATTCCCACGGATCACTAATTAATGTCCCTAATTAGTGATTAATTGCTCACTGGGGAGCAGCAGGGTGATCCCATTCCCCGATTCCCATAGATCACTAATTAACGACCCTAATTAAGCGCTAATTGCTGACCGGGCAGCAGCAGGGTGGTCCTGGTGGCCACGTTGATCTCCTGCAGGTGCTCGCGGGTCTCGGTGTGGAAGAGGCGGATGGAGGAGCCCTCGGCGAAGGCCATCCAGACCCCGCTGCCCGCCCGCACCATCCGCGTCACCGCCGCCTCCGGGTGCGCCTCGAAACGGTGCTGACGGAATTCCCGACGTTCCCGGGATTGCCCTCCTCCCCACACCCCCGGATTCCCGCCATTCCCACCGGGAATTCAGCTCCCGGCCCTCCCCGCCGCGGTCAGGCCTCGCCTCGAGGCTCGCTGAGGGTGTTTTGGGATCCCCGCGATTTTGGGAATCCCAGAACTCCTGATCTTGGGAGCCGCTCTGGAAGTGCAGGGCTCCGATGGGAATTCAGCTCCCAGCACAGCCTGCCAGAATCCAGCCCCACTCCAAGCCTTTTCCAGGGCTTTTTCCCATTCCCATTCCCATTCCCATAGCTGTTCCCATTCCCATTCCTGCTCCCATTCCGATTCCCATTCCCATAGCTGTTCCCAAACCCGATCCCATTCCCGTAGCTGTTCTCATTCCCATGCCCATTCCTGTTCCCATTCCCATTCCCATCCCCGTAGCCGTTCCCATTCCCGATCCCGTTATTCCCGCAGTTCCCGTTATTCCCGCAGTTCCGTACCTGGCTCTGCAGCTCCGGCGTTCCCAGGACGCTGACGAGGTTCTGGGAGCTGGCCCAGAGCGACTCCTCCAGCGCCAGCAGCGCCCGCACGGGGCCCGAGCCCAGCCGGAGCAGCCGGAGCGCGGCCGCGTCCCATAGACCCGCTGGAACGGGAACATGGAACGGGAATGTGGAGCGGGAATGTGCAGTGGGAATGTGGAATGGGAATGTGGAGCGGGAATGTGGAACAGGAATGTGCAGTGGGAATGTGGAATGGGAATGTGGAGCGGGAATGTGGAGCGGGAACGTGGAACGGGAATACAGGACAGAAACCATGGAATGGGAACACATGGAATGGGATAATGGCATCAGGATAACAGAAAATGGGATAACGGAATGGGATAATGGAATGGGATAGCGGAATGGGATAATGGAATGGGATAACCGGAATGGGATAACGGAATGGGATAATGGAATGGGATAACAGGAACGGGATAATGGGGAATGGTATAACGGAATGGGATAACGGAATGGGATAACAGGAATGGGATAACGGAATGGGATAATGGAATGGGATAATGGAATGGGATAACAGGAATGGGATAACGGAATGGGATAACGGAACGGGATAACAGCAGGGAAAACACAGAACCCAGCACACCCGGGAAGCTCCAGGTGAAGCCGAGTTCCCCCAGGGGTCACCAGGAGGGTCATTCCTACTTCCCAACATTCCCAGAATTCCCTTTTGGAAGGAGTGGCCCCTCCACCCTGAGGGCTCTTTGGAAAATTCCCTTTTTTTGTAACGGATTTGGGCCATTCCAGGCCCAATCCTGAGGTTTCGGGAGCAGCTGGGTAGGGATGAATCCAACGCCAGAGGCTCCAATCCATCGGCACTTCCCATCTTTTTATTCCCAATCCATGTTTTTTTTACCCAAACCCTCGGATCCCAGGGATGAAGGAGCCTTTGGATGCTCCAAGCCCTGCTCCCAGCAAATCCCGACTTCCACAGAAAAGGAATGATTCCAGGGAAGCTTTTCCCTCACAGAAAATCGGGAAGAGGTTCAGAACTCCCCCCTGTGGCTGCTCTTTAATCAATTTACAATTAATTAAATCCCATTAATTGGCTCCCAGCGCTGGATCATTTGGGAAGGGGGACGGGCACAATCCCAAAATTCCGATTTTAAGGGAATTCGGTGGCTCAGGATTGAGCCAGGGGTTGCTTCCTGCAGCTTTTCCGGAGAAAACCCGGAATTCTGCCCGAAAACCGCCCCAATTCCACCGGATTCCTGGCTCTTTCCAACCCCCTAGTGATGAAAACGAGGAATTTCCCAGTCCAGGAATTCCTGGAAAAGAGGGATGGCAGCAGGATGGGACCTCAGCCTGAGCCAAATCCCGGGAAAATGACCCCAAAATCCAGGGAATAAAAGGAATATTCCACCTGAGGGAGGTTGGAGGGGACCAACGCCATTTCCAGCCCCAGAAATGGGAATTTCGGGAAGGCAATTCCCATTCCTTGCGCATCCCACATTGGAGCTTGCAGGACCATTTTGCCAAGGTTTTCCCCCAAAACGAGTTTGTTTGGATCCAGCACGGGAAAACTGGGATTTTCCTGCTCTGGGAATGCCAGGGAAAATGTTGGGAAAACAAAGGAAAAATGGGGATTTATCCCAATGGGATATCCTAAACAGGGATTTATCCCAATGGGATATCCTAAATGTGGATTTATCCTAAATGGGATATCCCAAACCGGGATTGATCCTGATGGAATATCTTAGGTGGGGATTTATCCCAATCCCAACGGGATATCCCAAAGATGGATTTATCCCAATGGGATGTCCCGAACGGGGATTCATTCCCGGGAATGCTCACCGTGGTTCCGAGGGAAGGCGGCCACGTTCCCGTCCTGCAGCCCCGCCAGCAGGAACTCGGGGCTGTTCCGGAGGCACAGGATGGGCGGCATTCCCGGGATCTGGCAGCGCAGCAGGCACGGCGTTCCCGAATCCACGCTGCCGTACACCAGCAGGCTGGGAAGCATTGGGGCCGGAATTCCGGGATCAGCCCCGGAGCGGCTGGGATTCCAGGATCCCGTTGAGGGAACGGAGCTGGGATTTGGGATGGGAGCTGGGATTTGGGATCCAGGCTGGGATTCAGGATGGGAGCTGGGATTTGGGATCGGAGATGTGGTTTGGGACCAGGGCCAGAATTTGGGATTGGAACCAGGGTTTGAGATCAGGGCCGGGATTTGGGATCCAGGCTGGGATTTGGGATGATGGGAGCTGGCAGTCAGGAAGGGAGCTGGGATTTGGGATCGGAGCTAGGGTTTGGGGCCAGGGCCAGGATTTGGGATTGGGGCCGGGATTTGGGATCGGAGCTGGGATTTGGGACCTCACCTCCCGTCCTGCAGCCCCAGGCACACTGCGGGGTGGGGGGCGTTGGGGGCCGGATCCGGGGCCATTCCCTGCTCCCCGGGATCCTCGGGATTCGGCTCCGGGATGAATTCCATGCACAGCACCGGGGCCGGCACCGGGAAGGATTTGACGGTTCGGGGCACGGAGCGGTTCAGGGAGAAAATCTCCACCTGCCCCT